CTCTGGGATAACGGCATCGGGTACGAAGATCGTCTTAGCAACGCCTGCGCTTGATGTTCTAGGTGCTATTGCCTCCGAAGAGGGTCTTCAGTTGCATCATGGGCTGGTCAATAAGGTACTGAAGTGGACGTATCCGACTAATGTGTCGGAGGTGCGGGGCTTTCTAGGAACGGCTGGTGTTGGACGCAAATGGATCAAAGGTTTCTCAATAATTGCACGACCACTGACAGTGCTTACCAGGAAGTCAGAAGATGAGTTCATATTCAACGAGGAAGCGAAACGCGCAATGGACGAGCTCAAACGGTTGGTGACTGAAGTGCCGGTACGCAAATCGATTGATTATGAACTAGGCAGACTAATTACACAGGGGACGCGAGCATCGAATCATGGACTTGTGGTTCTAGCAGTAGACTCCTCGATATATGGGGCTGGGTGGGTGCTTTATCAGTACGTGCACGTTGACAAGCATCCAGTTCTCTTTGGGTCGTGTACATTCAATCCGACCGAATCGCGCTATTCGCAGCCGAAGATAGAACTCTATGGCGTGTTTCGGGCGATTAAGGAGGTACGTCATAGGATATGGGGCTTACATTTCCGTTTGGAGGTAGACGCCAAGTATTTGAAACAAATGATATATGAACCGGACTTACCAAATGCGCCGATGACTCGATGGGTGTCATACATTCAACTCTTCGATTTTGAACTAGAACATGTTCCGGCGAACAAACATGCTGCAGCGGATGGCTTGTCAAGGCGTCCCCGGTCGGCTGATGATTCAGACGAGTCAGATGGGGAACAAGAGCTAGAACGTTTATTGGGTCATGGATGGTACGCGATAGGGAGCGAAATCCGCCACTCACTCTTTCTACAGTTGTTACCAGACCTTAAGATGAGCGGGGGTTTAATGGGGTTTGACGCTGAACATGGTCGGTATAACAGCTCGATTGGATGCAGGATGGTGGTCGAGATGGGTGAGTTTGAAAGCGCAAGGGCCGACAGAATCAGCAGACGCAGCGCAGCAGCGAGGAATGCATCAGCGGAGGTAAGGGTTTTCGATATTAACGTGGTAGGTGGGGGTTATGCAGCATGGACGGTTGCGACTTGGGGAATGGAAGACACGAAAGCAGATGAGGTGGCCTCCTCGATGTTGTGCACTCTGTTGCGCATGGAAGACGACGTGTCGTATATTGGGAATGAGTTCCAGGTGCGTAAAGTTCCCCGTGAGCGGACTGATCAATTTCTGTTTGCAGGGGAGTTAGTGACACTTGAATACACAAGCTGGCGACCTGCCTGGGCGACATCAGAGAGAAAGCAGGGGATAGAATTGGAGAAAGCCTGGGAACGGGAGCGGAATGCAGTTCAGAGCTCGTTCGTTAGGAGGGGAGATACGATGGTATATGCGCGTGCGGTGAGTAGTCGGTACCTTTATGAAGACTTACCGGCGCCGGCTTCCTTAAGGGATATGCGATGTGTGACGCACGAGGGGCGTGTACGGGACCGCGACGACCCGGCAATGTTTGAGGAGATTAGGAAGTATTTGCAGGAAGGGGAACTTCCTGAGAGGTGCGCAAACGATTCTCGAGTACGCGGCACATTCGTGCGACTGGCGCGGTCATTCATATTGAATGATCGCCGTCTCTGGCGGGTCTCCAAAGGAGAACTGCCAAAACTCGTGGTACTGGACGTGGAAAGGCGGCGGGAAATTATAGCCGAGGCCCACAACGACTGTGGTCATCGCGGTCGTGACCCTACCTTCCGAAAGGTTGCAGATAGGTTCTGGTGGCCGAATCAATACGATGAAATCGCGTTCTTTGTGCGGTCTTGTAATGCGTGCCAGTACAGGGCAAAGTCTCGTTCGCTGCAGCCATTGTCGATCACGATCTCGCCCTCGATCCTGCGGCGTTTTGTGTTGGACACAATACACATGCCGCAGGGTTCGAATGGGCACAGATACCTTCTGCATGCCTCGGATGACGTATCGAGGTGGCCGGAGGCGGTCTCTTCCCGCAAGAATAATGCTGAAACGTGGGCAAAGTTCATATGGAAGGTTTTGTGCCGGTTCGGATGCATTCCAGTGTTTGTGTGTGACGGAGGACCAGAGTTTAAGGGAGCGGCGCGCACGATTTTGTTGAGGCATGGCGTATCCGTTATATTGAGCTCACCGTATCATCCGGAGGGCAATGGGATCGCAGAGCGGGATGGTC